TTGCGAAGCTTCACTCTCAATGATTCAGCATAATGTTTCAGGGATCTGATGTTCAGACCTCCCAATTTGTACGGCAGTGAAAGAATCTCAGATAGACAGCTGCTTATCGGTAAAGCCAGCCAAGTTCTAACGGCATCGTTAATCAATGGATCCAACTTGCTGGCAATCCATGACAGTGATATATCGTAAATACGCAGTTCGAAGCTGGGACAAAACGACGTAAAATTTGAAGTTTCCACTGGGCTGTGGTGTCCAGACTTGAAATCGTTGACAACATGCCTTGTAATTTGTTGAGCAGCAAATCTTTAGCTTTGGAATTGTTGCATTCGAAATCGTATATTTTACCTAGATATTCGAAATGGTCACCAATGCGAATCTGCGGTACAGGGGTGTCATTAATTGTCAACCTCGGCAGGAATTGTTCGTAGTTACCATTTTTCTTCCTCATCCCGAACGTGCAGCATTTATCTATCCTCATTTTCATCCCGGTAGCTTTGCACCAGGCTTTGTTTAAGTCAATTAATTTTTGGGCACCTTCTGTGCTGTTGGCGATGATTGCTGAGTCGTCAGCAAATTGGAACCATGCCCTTGATTTTAAATAAGCTGAAGGGCCCCAAATGTAACCACATTGCTGGTATTCCCTGCCCTCTAACAATTTCATGAGTGGATTAAAACAAAGGTTGAACAGCAACGGTGACGCAGGATCACCTTGTAGTACACCTCGCTTGACCGGGATCGGAGGAGTTAGCTTTTCGCATCCAGAGACCGATATCGAATAATCTGTGTATATGAATTTTATTAAATTGGTTATCGCTGGAGGTATATGATGGTAATTTAGAGAAGCTGAAATAAGATCATGACTGACTTCGCCAAAAGCGTTGCAAAGGTCCAAAAGTGAGAATAATAACAATAATAATAATAATAATGATACTAATGATAATACTAATAATAATAACATTAACGTTTATGATAATACCATAATTACTAATTCAACTTACGACATTCATTATCCATCATCAAACATCACGATCAGATTATCAAATTTTTCATTTAACAATTTACACCACTCTCAGTCCTGCACATGCTAACAAAGGCCTGCCCATCCGGTACAGGTCCAAACAGTCTACCTTCATGGTTTCTACAAATTATCGCACCATTCATCTGCAGCAATTTAAGTTCGTATTCATTCATCCCATCACAACGGAGATCCAGCTAAGCACAAATAATTCCTAAAACACCCATCCCAACAATAGATTATCGCTCAATTTCTATCACCCCTTTTCTTTCACGCATTCCAGAAAAATTGTTAGTTAGGTTATTCATCTATTTCTGTTTCAATCATCCCTCCATCAAACCACTATTACAAGATCAGTTTGCATTTTGCCCTACAGATTTATTTACATCTGCCATCCTCTCTTTTACTTCTGTAACAACATCTTTTCTTAAAAATAATAACTATGTTCATCTTATTGCTCTTGACTTTTCAAAAGCTTTTGACACTCTCAATCACTTCTCACTTTCAAAAATTTAGCCTCTCTTCCTTTTCCTAACAACATTTACAATCTTATAATAAATTTTTTTCTAACAGGAGTCATTCTACATTTTTCACTTATACTCTTTCATCTACTCTACCTATTAATTCTAGCGTAGTTCAAGGTTCCGTCCTCGGACCATCTACCTTTATCATCAATGCTTCTACTCTCAAAACTTTTCATAGCTCTAATCACATCATCAAATACGCTGACGACACCTACCTTATCATCCCATCATCTAACTCAAACACCATCCAATCAGAACTCGACTCATTAACCACATGGCCAAAACAATGCAATCTATCACTTAACATCAATAAATCATCCAAACTCATCATTCGCAATAGTCGTAAAAAATAACATTACCTCCCTAGCATCCATCAATCATTTGCAAGAATCAACTAAAAATATTAGGCATCACATTTACCTCTACACTTAATGTAGCACCTCATGTTAATCACATCATCACAAAAATACTTCAAACATTTCACGCACTTAAAACACTTCGCTCATATGGTCTCAAAGGCATCAAATTATTCGACATCACTGAATCACTCGTCATCTCACATATCAAATATGCAGCTCCTTTCTAGTCTAGTTTTGCTACACAACAACAATTTCAGCAACTACAAATTCTCTCATCAAAAAACTAATCCGCTTCAACTATCTACCTACATTATATCCTATCGTTACTCAATTATTCAACACACTCCATTCACGATTGTTCATGAAAATGGAAAAAACAACAACCAATTCATCCATCCTCTACTACCACCAATTAAAACTACTACACACAACCTTCGTCAACGCAAGCATATCTATCAAGTCTCAATCAACATATCTGTCTTGCCGTCGATTAAAAGACAGTTAAAGCGATTTAGCCCAAAAATCATCAAAACTGAATACAAAAAGGCTAAAAAGATTGCTAAAACGTTAATTAACTGACTCCAGTAAAGAAGAGCTTCACTCTAACAGTAATCCTCGCGATCGCAGGTGATCACTCAACCACATTCTTCTTTCTCGTCCACCACAACACTAGTCTGATGGTGGGTGCCAAATCCTTATTTACTCTTTCGCAAATTATTTTATATCAACAATTAATAACATACATCAGCCTATCAAAAAAAATATTGAAACAAATAACATAACATCTTTCAAACAAAAACCACTTCCAACAAATATATTCAACGCCTTTCCTGCTGTTTCGGTTTTAAAGGTATTAAAATTCATCTATTTTCTTGCTAAGAAGACATCTCCACTTGACGTTTTGCCTACTGTTCTTCTTCAAAAAAAATGTCTTTACTCTTTGCTCCCATGATTTCAAAACTTGTTAATCTTTCTTTTAGCAAAAGTGTTTTTTATCTACCACTTTCAAAACTGCCCAAGTTCTTCCGCTTTAATCTTGATCCATTAGACCCATCAAACTATCGCCCCATCTCAAATTTGTCTACTTTTTTTTAAAATTCTTGAACATTAGATTATAAAGAAAATTCTTACTCAGGTCAACTTTTTTCAAATTTTGCACTTTTCCAGTCCGCTTTTTTTCTTGCACTTCTCTACTTATACGATAATCTCATTAACATCAGGGGCTGGCTGCTATGATACGCCTGAACCTATCTGCGGCTTTTGACAAGATTAATCATCAAATACTTCTAGAAAAGCTAAAAATGGAGTTTGGTATCACCGACAAAGCTTTGTCCTGGTTCAGTTCATATCTTTCAAACCGCCCCCAATTTATTAAACTTGGCACACAAGTCTCCTCTGTTTTTGTTTATCTACCGGAGTTCCTCAGAGCTCTGTGTCTGTGTTAAGACCAATGCCTTTCACTATTTATACTAGTCTTTTATCTTACATTTTAAAAAAAATATGGCTTATCCTTCCATCAATATGCCGATGACACAAGCATCTCTCACCAAAATATCTCTTTTCAACTTGATAGACTTAACTTTTGTGTCTCATTTTTGCACTTTTCCAGTCCGCTTTTTTTCTTGCACTTCTCTACTTATACGATAATCTCATTAACATCAGGGGCTGGCTGCTATGACTGGCATTTACTTAATTTCCTTCAACTAAATGCTCAAAAATCTAAAATAATGTTTTTTGGCACACCACAGAACTTACGAAATGTTCTCCACCCTCCACTGGAGCAAACCAATTCGCCACACGTGTTGTTGTTGTGATGTGTTGTTGTTGGTGTAATGTGTTGTTGTTGATGTAATGTGTTATTGTTGGTGTGATGTGTTGTTGTTGATGTAATGTGTTGTTGTTGATGTAATGTGTTATTGTTGGTGTGATGTGTTGTTGTTGATGTGATGTGTTGTTGTTGATGTAATGTGTTGTTGTTGATGTGATGTGTTGTTGTTGATGTAATGTGTTGTCAAAATGTCAAAGTTTTTATTTTTAATTTATCGTAACTGACGTTGCTGAAACGAGCATTTGTTGACTAAATAGATAACATGTTCATGTTCATCCATTGTCATGTGCTTGTCGAAGATAAAACCCATATTTGAGACGGCATCAGAAAATCGGATGTCAAGCAGATAGAATTTTCCTCAACTAGAGATAGTTGCTGCCAGGTCCCAACAAGCATGAACTGAGTTTGTGTTTGGTTAATCTTCAATTGATTTTTACCCAACAGATCACTGATTTCGTTAATGCATCTAACATGTTTGTCTGATATATTTGAAAACTCAGACGGGAGCATGAGATACATATTTGTATGTAATCAGCGTACTCTCGAAAATTTAAACCAGACTGGTTGACTAGGGCAACTAACTACTTTACTTAAATATATATATAATTATATATATATATATATATATATATATATATATATATATATATATATACGACATATATGAAACAAAATAACAATGCATTAATAATGAATCACAGAGCAAACACACACAGCCCCTACACAAACGTATTCATTTTTAAGTGGCGATTCCACTGCGCTTCGATCAATCATTCATTCGTTTTTTCTTAAATAAAATGCACTCATTCATTTTTTTAATATAATTCATCTATTCATTCATTCACCTCACATCATATTCAATCACGGTTTCACTTCAATGAGTGCATCATTCATTCATTCATTCATTCACTCATTCATTTATTCATTCATTCATTCATTCATTAATTCATTCGTTCGTTCGTTCGTTCGTCCGTTCGTTTGTTCGTTCGTTTGTTCGTTCGTTTATTCATTCATTCATTCTCTTTTCTTTCTTTAATTCATTCATTTGTTTAATTCAATCAGCCGTGTCACAGACTCAGTCTTCTTGGATCACTATAAAATCTTTGTTATGTTATGTTTGTTATCCATTCATTAACTCACTAAAACGCATTCACTCATTCATTTATTCACTCACTCCATGAAACGCATTCACTCCTCCATCAATTTCACTCTCAAATTCACATGTGCATTCTCATATCTCCGTCAGGCAAGGCACAATTTATGATGCTTCGACCATGTCGCTGGCGTCCGAGAAGAATGTCTTCAATTTTTCATGCCTGCCTCCAAATGATGATCACGTGAGCAAACCAAATCGCCACACGTGTTGTTGTGATGTGTTGTTGTAATGTGTTGTTGTTGATGTAATGTGTTGTTGTTGATGTGTTGTTGTTGATGTGATGTGTTGTTGTTGGTGTGATGTGTTGTTGTTGTTGATGTGATGTTGGGTAGATGAGATTATAAAAGAGACTTTCAAGGGATTTTCACCCATCAAATAAACTGGAAACCAATATTCTAATTTTTTCACATAACGGTTCAACCAATATGAATTCCTTTCCTTTCACTCAATCATTCAATTACTTATCTGGTTATAATATTTTTTTCTAATTATTTTTTAAACAATCAGAATCTGACAAACGCAGAGACTGTTACAACCTGCAAGCCAGTAGTATAAAATTAAACGAAAAAAAAAAATAAATAACGGAGAGAGAGAGAAAAAATGTTTAAATATGAAAAGTATTGAAAATAAAATAAATTAATGGTATAAATAAGCAAATTAATAAAGTAATTTGTTAATAGACTTGATGATGACTTAGTGAGTTAATGAGGTGATCGATAAATAAAAACTAGTTGTGTGAATGACAAAGTATTATTGAGTGTTAATATGTTTGAGGTGTTTGAGGTCATATGTTTGTGGTGAAGGTCTTTTCCTGATATGTAGATTTGGTTGCGACTTGATAATAATGTTTGCGTTGACGAAGGTTGTGTGTAGTAGTTTTAATTGGTGGTAGTAGAGGATGGATGACGTGGTTGTTGTTAGTTTCCACTTTCTTGAACAGTCTTGAATCGAGTGTGTTGTCAATTAAATTAAATAGTAAAATCACTTAGTAAAAATTTCATGATATTCTCAGATTCATTATCAACAGTTACGGCGCTTAAACAATATAGACCTCAACACAACCTTAAAATTCAAACGCAAAACAGGATACATGATAACTTAAATGATAACAATGGTAAGAAAATAATTCTGATATGGATACCCAGTCACATAGGAATTGAGGATAATGAGGAAGTCGATCAACTGGCATCACAAGCTCACAATATTTCAATATCAAATCTTCCCATCCCACACAATGATTTAAGATTTTGGACAATAAAGGTTTCAATGGAGAAATGGCAACTTGAATGGAACCAAACATCAAACTTTCTTAAATTATCCACACCATTTCTCAGCCAAAAAAATGAATTTAAAGGTTTAAAACGTAAACCTCAGACAATCATCAACAGATTAAAAATAGGCCATTCAAGTTTGACTCATTCCTGGATTCTCAACAAAACAAATTCGCCTACATGCAACTCTTGTAACGAAAAACTAACCAACCATCACATTTTGGTCAAATGTAATAGTCACAATAATAGTAGGAAACGACATGTCATCCCTTCAGAAGTAGAAAAAATTTTTTCCAGAGATAAATTCAATAATCTAATATCATTCCTTCAGGAAATACAAATTTTTAATAGAATTTAAAAATAATTTCTCAAAAGTTTTAAAACAACAAAACGCATTTATAGAAAAGGAACAAGGGGTGTAAAGATAGCCAGTTGAGCTGAAACGCCGTTAAACTGCACAAACAAACAAACAAATTAAATTAGAATGTTTGCCGATAGTTAAACACGTGCATGCACGCACTACCTGAAACCAAAAAAAAACACATAGCGCCGCTAGAACCTCATCATCTTCACTAATCCAATTAATTTATACATTCAATTGTTCATTTGCTCATATTTACTTAATTTCTCATTCGCTCATTTATTCATTATTTATATATTCCTTCATTCATTCATTCAATCCCTCATTTGCTTAATCTTTCAATCACTCATTCGCTCAGCTATTAAATTATTTATTCTTTCGTTTATTCAATCATTCATTTCTTCATTCATTCATTCATTCAATCATTCCTTCCCTCATTCATTCGTTGGTACATAAAGCTATCCATCACTCTTAATTGGTCCATTCATCTAGCATGCTCATCGTTTCAATTTTTTTATTCATTCATCCACCCATCCATCAATCAGCTTCAGACCCACCTCCATGCATCATCGTCCACTTATTACTCATTTCATCCTCCTACTCCTTAAGATCACTTATGAACCTCTTATTCATCTATTCCGGTTCGTGTTCTGACGGTTGCACGTGAGCCACCAACCTGCCCTGTCGTTCACGCTCTTCAGAGTAGCGCGTGTCTGATTGGTATTCTAATTTCCAACATATTATTTAGTATGTTAATACCGTTGAGCAGAAATTTGACGATTGTGGATTCAAATTCGGACCAGAATTCCGGAATTTGGTAAGATTCGAATCAAATGCTAGAAAAATAAAACGGAATCCATGATCAATTGCGCGAGTGAATGGTGCAGGTTGAATGGTATGGCACCAAATCGTTGATTGTTCTCGGTATTCTGAGTAGGGTGGAACTTGGTTTGGTTAAAAGGAGTTCGGGTAGTTTTTTGGAGCCGTTCAACATTACTATACTACACTGGCTAAATTTTAAAATTATTAATATTGATAGAGATCACAATTTGGAGTCTGCAAGATGTTTCTGGAAGGTCTGGTCATCAAGCAGTCTACTAAAATTAATCCAATTTATTAATTCCCGTGGCACGATGTATTTCCAAACCTGCAAGTTTCTCGATGCTGCTTGCAAACTGTGGGGGCTTGTTTAGCGAAGTAAAACATGTTCTAGCTTATTTGAGATCTTCAAAAAGAGTGGAGCATTGATAAGCATTGCTAAGTATAATGAAGGAGAGTTGATGGACACAGACAAATTTGCTGATGCCACTGACAACTTGGTCCGATGCGTACTCCAGAAGAAAACTTGAGTATGCCACTGTTTAATGCAAATATGAATCACGTCGATTATTATTGAAAGGTGGGAGAGGTCAGAGGTCAACTGGCCATACAAAGGTCATCTCCTAATTTAATTTTTTAAACTAGTTGAATAATTTTTAAATAATACGATATATTTTGTACTGTCAATAAAAAAAACGTACAAATAAAATAAAAATTATGTAAATTTCTTTTTTTTAAATTAAAGGATCGAATTGTTTTTATATCAACTACTAACTAACCAATCAACCAACCAAACATCTAACTATTCAACTAATCAACCAACCAAACAGCCATCCAACTAACCAGCCGATCAACCAATCAACTAGTGGTAAATGAAAAAACATGAGAAAATTATGTGAAAAATTTTCGGAAAATAGAAAATAAACTTCATAAAAGTTTCATTTTAGCATTTAAATTTAAAATATTTTACGTTATATTTTACTGCAAAGCAGTTTTAATACCAACAACATTTTTAGCGCTTCTAACTACTGATTGTCAAAATGCTTATCTGTAATTGACAAAATTTATTTGACGAACCTTTCGTCAATCTATCCACAGGCCAAATCATTCATTTATTCCTGCCTTACAATCATTCATTAACTCTTTATACATCTTTTCTATCTATCCATCCATCTATCCATCCATCCATCAATCCATCCATCCATCCATCCATCCACCCATCCTGCTATCTATCTATCTATCTTTCTTTCTTTCTATCCAGCAATCCTCCATCAGATGATGATTAATAATCTAAATAAACGAAGCGAGGAATCAGTCAATACCTTCATTATATTGATGGATGACTCAATTGATTTTGATGGATGGGTCTCTCCTCGTCATCAACTTGTCATTCATTTCTATTTTGCCTCCCTCCTCACTTCCACTTCTTCGTATATTTTTCTTACTGCTATTTTCCAACTTTTATTTATTTTTTCATGTTTCAGTCGAATCAAATGAATGAAGTGTTTTATTGCAGCGAAACGCTCCATCATTTTCACCTGACTGCATGCAAGCACTCGCCAGATGAAGGCACAAAAGAAATTTAACAACCTACTTTCAATCGAACATAACTACATCAACAACATCAACAACATTGTCCCACAAAATGAACAAACAAATTATGACACAAACAACAAACAGCCAAACAACGTGCCTGAGTCGGTGAGGCAGTAGAAAAGCCATGTTTGCCATCGTGGCTGGTCTGCTATGACCTGGTTCGAAAACTGTCTGTTGGATACTCAGGAACTAGCATACGACTTTAGTGCGTACAAACAAGATGTATGTGGACGACATGTGTACAGCCATTGTGGCCCAGAGGTTTAATTGCAGTTGAAAAATATAACAACAAGTGAGCAGCTCTATGCCTGTTGAAGCAGCGTAATGATAAAAAGTTTAAAAACATTTAAGCAGTGCATGGTGCAAAAAATAGAATGAAGATGACATCGGTATCACCAAAAAAACCATCAAATATTAATAACTAAAATAACAGACAAATAATTAACATAAAATTAACATTAACACACGCACACAATCCGAAAAATTCACAATCGCTGCCACACACATCATATGCAGGCATTGGCACATACACGCACGCACACACGCGCAAACACACACACATACATACAAACGCGCAAACACACACGCATACACACACGCACACGCAACTCATAAACAAACACCACACTGGAAGATGTCGTGAAACGAGCGACGGAAGATTGATGAATTGCTTGAGCCTGCATGGAGCATGTCATAGGTCAGCAGTTAATCACGTGACTCTTTCACGTGACCCCTTCTTGACCCTTTCTACTTCCGGCAGGACAGCGCGTCAGGTTTTATCTGCTCCTCTGCAGACGTTTGATCCGGCGTTATATCATTGTTGATGCTTCCTCTAGCTTCATATTCTTCTTCATGCTCTTCTCATCGTTTTCCATCTCTCTCTTTCTTCTTTTTCTTATTTTTTTTTATTGTTTAACTACCTTTCCATCTATCTACTGATCGATCTATGGAAGGTGTGGACAAAACGAAAAGTGGAAGCAAAAAATGGTGGTGTTGATGTTAATAAAGTAATGTAGTGAGGATTATGATGGTGGTGATGGTGGTGGTGATAGTGGTGGTGATGATGACGATAATGGTGGTGATGATCATGATGATGATAATGGTGATGGTGGTGATGGTGGTGATGATCATGATGATGGTGATGATGTAATGATAACGAAGGAAACAAGGACGATTTTTTAAATGATGAAGATGAAAAGTTAAGATATCTAATTGGGACTGTCAGAACGTTGGCGGAAATAGAGAAAGAACGGTGAGAAAAATGATAAGAACGACGAAGATGATGAAAACGAAGGGAAGGATGGCGATGGTGAAGATGATAAGAGCATGGTAATGATATGATATCTTTGTTCATTTTGATGATGATGACTGACAGCAGTAACCCTAGTACTGATTATGAAGATGAAATGATGAAGGCAAGAGGAATGAGGCTGTTCGTTAAATGATTGATGACGAGTTCTTGAGTATCATCGTTTAATGAAATGTTATTTGTGGCTTTCATCTACTTATGAAGTTTATTCTAGATGTAAGAATTTTATATTTTTATGTACAAATACTTTATATTAGTTGTAGTTTTTAACTTTGAAAGAAAAAAAAACCTTTATTTTTTTATTCATTGCTGATAAACCTAGGTTTATAGGTGCAATATATGTGTATATATGTGTGCTATGTGTGCGCGCGTGTAGTGTGTATGTGTGTGTATGTGTGTGTGTGTGTGTGTGGTGTGTGTGTGTGTGTGTTGTGTGTTTTGGAAACAATCATAATTAATAAAATAAATAACAAAATCTACCGTATTTTTAACTATTAATATTTTTCAATAAATTTTTTTCGTAATTTTCAGAAATAATTTTGCAGTTATAAATGAATATATTTAAATTAATGGGAAACTCAACAGAATCTACCATGCAGCGTGTATGTGCTATTTCGGTTTGGTCCATCTCCAGCGCAATAAATATGCCACTGGGATGGGGATGAACCTTGCAATTAGGAACAGGAAAACCATCAGACGTCACAGTTAGGTCCAGAATTCCACCGGGAATGTGAGCCGGATCGCCGACGTTATACTTACGTCATTATGCTGTTGTAAGAAAGTTGATCAAACAATAAACCAAAAACATCAATTAATTTAAGTGAATTACAAAATTTAAAAATAACAAAACCAGAATGAGCTCTCTTGAATTTTATCCTTTGAAAGAAACCAAAATCAAACAAAATATCCAAAAATAAACTGGGAACATCCTTGAAAACAGGAAAAATCAATTTGCAGCTAACCCAACCAACAAAAGTATTGCGATCATAAACAAAAAGTTGCCAAGGGAGGACTTGGACCCGGCAGCTTCACAAGAAACTTTCGTCGGTCAACGAATAATTTTTGGTTTTTATGCAGATTAAATTGATCTTGCCACTCCAAGCAATTATACAAGTTAGAAAATTGTTATTCGCTATTGGAGTTTTTAATATGAAAACTTAACGAGAAGTCGACGAAAAAAGTTAACAACTTTTTTTGAGACCCGAAGCCACACACAGGTTATTTCTGGCTAAACCGTTAATTGGAAAAAATTGGCATTGTTTGAAAATTAAATTTATAAGCGTAAAAATTTAAAAAGTATAAACCGTTATTCATGATCACATTGGAAATGTCAAACAGCCAGCTAACTTCATACAATGAAAATAAGCGATTTGAATGGCTGATAATAATGGTAACGAATAAATTTAAACTAAGCAAGTTTAACAAAAATGTAATGTAATGTAGAAAAATTTAATGGCAATGTAAACAAAGAAAAGTTATTAATCAGAACTTTGCATGATAAAAATCATAAACAAACAAATGGATGAATAATTTATTTTCAATTTTTGTGCACAGATGTTCGCCTGTTCATCGTTTCTTAAAAATCATCACTCCCCAACATTTATCACCATAAATTTTTATACTTAATGCTGCATCCTGAGTGATCAGAAAAATTTGAGTACGACGAAAATGATTTTACTATTCGTTATTTTTCGATGTTTGTTTCTATAAAATCAGATCTCTGTTTTAACTTCTTTTTTTATCAAATTTCACTATAAAAAGTTATTTCATTTTCTGCGCCATGTTAATAGGATGACCTCAACATTGTCAGTCATCATTCTTTCCAGGTGTCCACATTTCCATTGCAAAAGATACACCGATGTTTTTATAACATTGTTAAATAGTTGATGGTCAAAATGACATGCATGAAATAACATATTAGAGACCGCTCATTTGGACGGCTTGATAAAAAGAAAAAAACATTTGATTGGTATTTTTGTATAGAATAAACATCGATCGAGTTTATAATGTGTCTCATCGAGTTGAACATTCAGCTCTGCAGTGAAATGAACCGCATTTCAACACGAGACAAAAATATAACAAATGACTTAAAAAAAGCTAGAAATATTATAAAGTAAATAATAACATGAATAAAAATATTAAATCCATTTTAACAAAAAAGTAAAAATTAATTAAACAAATTTACTAAAATAAAAAAATAGAAAAATAACAAGAGCAGTGAAAAATTCGATGAAAGAAAGGGCGACATAATAGAAAATTTGATTGCACATTGGCTGAACGTGGCGGTCATTTAATGGCGAACATTACGCTGCTGATACCTCTACATTGATGCACTACTAAATCGCCCCCGAAGAACGAGCAACGTGAAGCATTTTATTGCATGGTGGAGGTGTGGGGGCCCGCCAGCCCGCCTCTCTGCCTGCCTGCCTGCATGGTTTCATGGGCTGTCCTTCAAACTATTACCTCACGCATATGCTTCCGCCTCCTCCTTCTATCATTCCGTCCTCTGCTTTTGTGCTCTTGTGAGTTTTTGCGTTTGTGTGTTTGTGAGATTTTGAACTTCTGCACTTTTATTCATGTGTTTATGTGTTCTTGTGTTCATGTGCTCATGTGTTCTTGTGTTCTTGTGTTCATGTGTTCTTGTGTTCATATATTCGTGTGTTCTTGTGTTCATGTGTTCATGCGTTCATTTGTTCATATTTTTTGTGTTCATGTGTTCTTGTGTTCGCGTCTGCAAAAAATTCAAATAAAATATAATTACTCACTATCACGAGAAAGTGTTTGTGATGATGATGATGATGATGATGATGATGATGATGATGATGATGATGATGATGATGATGATGATGATGATGATGATGATGATGATGATGATGATGATGATATGATGATAACGCTGAAGATGACGATGAGTGTTAAAAAATTAAACATCTCAAAGTCACTTGCAATAAAGGCCTGCAGACAACACGCAGACAACTTACATAAACACACACGTGCAACGCAAATACAACACACATATTGCTCACATGCACGCACACGCACAAACACAAACACGTACATCTTCCTTTGTGCAACTAAAAGTTGACGTCAAATTACTTGATCATTGATAAATTACATGCAATCCAACCAACTTGTCTATTCCTGCTGTCTCTGTTGCTTTTGTTGTTGTTACCGCTGATGCTTTTGTTGTTGTTGATGTTGTTGTAAGTAGTTGTTGTTGCTGTGTTCTGTTTTGTTGTTTTGAGTTTTGTTGCAGTTGATTTGTTTCCTGTTGCAGTTAATGTTTTTGCTGTTGCTGTGTCTTTTGTTTGTTTACTGGGTTTGTTAATGATGTTACATATTTTTGGTTGTTGAGTTTGTTCTAATTATTGTTGTGATTGTTATCGCCTGTTTTTGTTGTAATCCATGTCGTGCAGCATGTTGTTGTTGCCGTATTTTTGCGATTATTGGGCTGCTTTTATATTTTCTGTTAAAACGTTTTTGTTTCGTCATTGTTGTGTCTTTTTTGTCATTGTGTTGTTATGCTATTGAATTGTTTTGCTGTGTTTTCAAGAAGTTGTTGTTGCTGGGTTGGAATATTGTTGTTGTTGTGGTTTTGTGTTGTCGGTAACATTAATGGTGTCGTTTGATGGTTTTGTGAGGTTGTCACCGCACTTTTTTGATGCTGGGGCGTTGCATCACGGCATTGAACAATTTTTACGTTCGATGAATTTTGCATGTTCCTCTCCAGTACTTAGAACTGTTGCGATGTTATTCTGCCTCCTAATGTCCTGTTGTTTATTGGATTCTTCTTTAAATTAAAAAACTATAATTTTTACAGCTGTCTGTGGAATTGCCCTTAATGTTGGGACGTGTTAATAATTTAAACTTGTCGAATTATTTGTCCACACGTGTTCTCGCGCGCTGCTGATGCATTTTCTTCATATTTCATTCAGCGATGAGCAGTGATTAATAATGACAGGCAGGATGTTGCTGTTAATGACGTCACAAGGGGCCCCCACCCCATTATTTACAACAGATAGGATGGACCCTGTATGCACGCGTATGTGACGGCACTTCAATATTACGATGTTCCCGTGTGGCAGTCTGACAGCACGTGAACATAGGGACACGAAGGAATGAGCACACGCAGACAAACCTGCCCACACGCGTGCACGCGATACACAAACACATATGCACACTAGCACATACATACATACATACATACATACATACGCGAAATATGGGAACGCCCTCCCCTCGATGGAATTCTTGCCAATATGTATCGAGGTTCTCGGCCCGATGTACCCCAACACCCTTAAATTTCTTAAGGCAATATGTAAAATGATCAGCGTCAGATCAGGCGACAGCAGGGAACTGTTTTTTGCAACTAACCACATTTCGTGCTTGTTGCAGCGGTTCCTGCGTGTCTGTGTGCTTGAAAATATCCAACTGAATGCCGACATGTGCAATTAACAACAAATCAAAGTGTTAATCCATTTGTTACTTGATGTTTGACGGTTCAGTGTCACTCATCATGTTTTGGTTTTAACATACATACATGCATACATGCATACATACATACATACATACATACATACATACATACATACATACATACATACATACATACATACATACATACATACATACATACATACATACATACATACATACATACATACATACATACATACATACATACATACATACATACATATATACATACATACATACGTACATACATACATACATATATACATACATACATACATACATACGAAACGAAACGAAATTTTTATTTGCTCCCCAAAATTAAAGATAATAAATAAGAGACAGGATGAATGTGATCGAGCCCCTAATGGGCTCATCTAGCACAGCCACCTAGACAAATATGTTCAGAGTTTTGTGATTAATATCAAATATTGTTAGTTGTTAGTATGTTAATAACAGATAATAAAACAAAAGGTAGTTAACTAAAAAATAATGTTTCATAGATAATTATAATCGCATTAAAAATATCAACAAAAATTGTTTATAGATAGAGAACATAAATTTCATGATGTAAATACATTTGTTATATAATTTATTAAATGTTCAGTGATTTTAAAAACATCTCTACATTATTAATAAGGATAATAATTTTAATAATTGTTAATTATTAAAAACGATTTAACTTTTTTTTTTAAATCAGTAGCCGATTTTGCCTTATATTGGAAACCATTCTTAATAATGTTATTCCAGGTCCTAGGACCCTTACAGATTACAAGCGAATGTAAAATGTTAGTTTTTGATTTATTCGATTGCAAATAATTAGACATCCTATGACTGTTAGCATGTTTAAAATAATTAGCAAACGTATTAGGCAATTGATTGTTAAGCTGCTTATACACAAAAATCAAAGTACGATAAATATTCAATTGATTAAAATTAAGATTATTGGTTGTCGTAAATAACTCCTTGGTATGAGACCTCATCGTCGACATGGTGATGGTTCTGACGGCCCTTTTCATCATAAGTTTAATCGGATCCGTGACCGAAGGAGACGTGCCAGCCCAGACAATGTTGCAATAAATCACGTGTGGCATAAAAAGTGAGTGATACAACAAATTCAGACACTTTTTTGTGAGGTAGAATTTCACCTTGTTCATCAGACCAGTTGATTTGGCAAGTTTGTTTGCAACACTATTAACGTGATCACGGAACGTTCACTTTTGATCTAGATGAACGCCCAGAAATTTAACTGTTTTATTTTCATAGATATCAATATTATTTATTTTAATTTTATAAGGTTCTTTGTAGTTTAAATATTGAGTTGGTCCAAAGATTATCATTTGCGTTTTAGAACTATTTAAAGTAAGTTTATTTAGTGAGAACCAAGAATTAACATGTTTAATTTCTTCTTCTGTATATTTGATGAGCATGTTAATATCTTTTCCTTTGCTGAACACATTTGTATCCTCAGCAAAACAAACATAATTAAAAAGTTTAGAGGCTATCGGTAGATCGTTAACAAACACTATGAATAACAATGGTCCCAAAATGCTGCCCTGCGGAACGCCTATTTTGTTGATCAATTTACTTGAATTTTTATTGTTCCAGGTAACGAATTGATATCTTGATAAAAGGTTGACCAAACCAAGTCAAACTGGAGTCTCTTATACCATAGTGATGAAGTTTGTGTAATAAAATCGAATGGTCAATACAATCAAAAGCTTTTGAAAGATCGAGACATATTCCAATTACATAATTTTTCGTTTGACTTGCGACTCCAATTTTTTGAATCAGTTCCAGTATTGCCATTTCAGTTGAGTGGTTTTTTCGAAAACCAAATTGATGATTAGAAAGAATGTTATTTTTTCAAAAAATTTGAGCAAACGACTGTGCATCAATTTTTCAATAATCTTCGAAAAAACAGGCAACAAAGATATAGGTCGAAAGTTTTTAACCTCTGAGTTACCTCTTTCTTTTGCAATTGGAACTTTGGATGTCTTGAAGCACTTAGAAAAGATGCCTTTGTCAAAGGATAAGTTGATTAAATATTCAAGAATTGTTGCTGTTGATTTAATTGTTGATATTACTATTTTGGTTGATATTTCATCGTAACCACTCGACGTCTTGGGTTTGAAAAGTTTTGTGGTTGAAATGATTTCAGATGATGAAACACGGTTACTAAAAAATGAATTTACTGACCCATTTTGAAGATAATTTTTCCATCTTGTGTCTTGTGTCTTCTACAAATGATTGCTGCATATCTGAGGCCAGATTGATGAAATAATTATTGAGGATAGTTTCAGGATTATCAATTGGATCATCATTTAAAGTTAATTGAATTGTTGATGTTTTTTTGTTATTTCGTTTCGTTAAAGAATTGACCATGTTTTCTTGCTGTCGCCATTGCTTTGTTGTAGAAGATTAAAATAATATTGTCTTTTCAACTGGCACTTGATCTTGTTGCATAATTTGCTGCATGATTTGAGTGCTGTAAAGTTGTCTGACGATGTGTGCTTTAGATATTTTTTATATAACATTTTCTTCCTTTTTAACATTTGTTTAAATTCTTTAGTTATCCACGGTTTGTTTTTTGTCATCTTCTGAGCCTGTCTTTTAGTGGATTTTTTTGTATTACTGATTATTGTAGGAACTGTGATCATGGATTTGAGGTTGTAACATGTCACAAGTTGGTTCAATTGAATTTTATTTATACTGCTAACTTCTGGCGATAAGTCAATATTTAGATCTCCCAAAAGATAAACAAATTTATTTTCATTACTAGTTATTCGTAAAACTTGTTCTAATTCTTTAAAATATTGTTTAAGTTCGTATATTGGAGGTCGATAACTAACCATCACAATTGAATTTTTAGATTTAAAATTGTTAATGATCTCTATTGCAAACATTTCAAACTTTGGCGAGCCAATGGTATTTAAATCATCTCTTATTCGAAAGGTAGAATCATTACAGACATAGAAACCAACTCCTCCACCGTGTTTGTCATGACGATTTTTGCCTACATATCTATATTCATCCATGCCAACCAAACTTTCAGTACGTTCGTTTAACCAGCTTTCTGTTATCGCAACTGCATTGAATTTGATGTGACTGTTTGACAAATAGCTTTCCAATTCATCGGTTTTGTTGACCAAACTTCTTATGTTCAAATGCATTAAGTTGAAAAACATACTGCTATCAAAATCTTTATTTATTAATTTATATTCATCATTCAACATCTTAAAATTGTCATACCTTTTACATGTAGTTTGCTTGGAGTTTAAATTGTCTTTTTCTTCCTCATCACTGCTGTCATCATCATTATCAACATGTTGTTTATCCATCTTTTTTTGTTTGATCGACAATTGTTTCTGGTTTCTTATTGAATTGCCACTCGCGTACTATAATGTGCTGGGGCATTATGTCAGGGTCTTTCATTTTCTTAGAATCAGAGCTATCGATGCAAACTCTAAACGTACTGGATTCTTCTTCATCTGTTTTTTTATTCTCAGTTTGACTATTATTATTGTTATTGACGTCGGCTGTAGAAGCTGGTGCCATTTTATTGAATTGTTTGAGTACGGGATAACAGGAAACAACATGGATACCATTGTCGGTTAGGTAGGCCATCACATCATTTCTGGGGCACTTGCTGACGTTGCTTAAACAGAACACAGATTTTTTCATTAAGATTTTATCTGCCTTCAGTTTGCAATCATTTGAAACTTTTTTACCGATTATTTTCATAGCTGTCTTTTTTCCAGTTTGTTTGTTGTTTGTTGGGTTGTTGCTGGTTTCTCCTGAGTTGTTTTGTTTCTCACAATTGTCTTCTGACTTTGCTATGTCTGACCACAGAGAACTACTGACATTTTTCTTTTGTCCCTCCTTGTTTGTCACTTCAGTACTGTAGTCACTTACAACATTAGAATTTAATTTATTTTTCAATGTATTTACTTCTGGTTTATTAACATTAGCAGTTTTAATAACGTTTTTTAATGAAATAATATCAGCTTTATTACTTTCAACAGTTTCAATAATTTTGTTAAATTGCACCTGTTATTTGTGCAATATATCTTTTAATTCTAGTTTGATAGTTTCAAAGTTTTAATTCTAGTTTGATAGTTTCAGACTTTGGAACTTTATTTAAATTACAACTAACAAATAATGGACATGTGTCCCAACATTTGTTTTCTTTCAACTGTTTAATTAACGATATACATTCCAATATTTTTTCAGTTTTCATATTCCCGCGCGACTGCAATTTTTCACTTTTTCAATTTTAAAATTATTTAATTCACTTTTTATCAACTTAATTGCATTTACAATATCCTCGTGAATATAAAACACAGATATATTATTAATAAACGTTTCATTCTCAACTAAATTCCAATTATTTTCCAAATAATACAGGAACTCATTTATTACAAGCGACCTGGACGCCATTTTTTTTACATACATACATACATACATACATACATACATACATACATACATACATACATACATACATACATACATGTCACTCATCGCTGATTTGGTTTTAACATACATACATACACACGCACACATAGATACGCGTGCACACAAACACGCCTGCATACAAACACACAATCACACTTACACAAAAGAAGAGACAACAAAACTATGCGAGGCACATACAAACATATGATATCAAAGAGCGTAGATCGGCAGTGCGGTTATTAATAACCGGAAACACGTGATAAATGGACTTTAAGACGATGGATGTATTAACGGCGACCTGCAGACGATAAATTATCCACATCGCAGACTACTAACGCTATTTGCAGACCTGCTCCGCAGTTTTATGTTGTTGTTGTTGTTGCTGCTGCTGCTGTGCTGGTGTGATGGTGGGCTGTTGTATGTTCGTGCTGTTGTGTCGCCGTTATTGTCGTTGTTGTGGCTGTGAACGCTGCTTGCTGCAGATGTTGTTTTGGATCATGGTGCTGTTGGTGTTGTTGTTTTTGTTCTGTTGCTATGCTGATTTGTTGAAATTTTGTTTTGTATGTTGTAGTATTGTGCGTGTTAGTGTGTTGCATATTATGTTGTGTGTGTGATG